AAATAAATAAATAATCTTTTTTCTAAGATTTTTTTTAAAGGATTTTATTTATTCATTTGAGACACAGAGATACAGAGAGAGAAGAGAAAGCATGAGCAGGGAGAGAGGCAGAGGGAGAGGGAGAAGCGGGCTCCCCGCTGAGCCAGGAGCCCGACGTGGGGCTCGATCCCAGGACCCTGGGATCATGACCTGAGCCGAAGGCAGATGCTTAACGACTGAGCCACCCAGACGCCCCAAAAATAAATAATCTTAATAAAAACAAGATGTTTCTTTTCTTTTTAGATTGGAAAATATAAACAGGATGACGACTACCTTATTTTGTTTGCTTGCTGATGGGGGGCACATACCTTGCTATAACCCATCCAGAAGGCAGTTCAGCAAAATCAAAAATGTAAGTGTGCACACACTTCTGCCCAGAAATCTTACTTCCAAGAACCAGTGCTACACAACAACACAACTACCCAAGGCCACGCATGAGAATTCTTTCCGCACTACTTACAACCACAAAATGCTGGGAAGATCACAATGCCCACCGTGTAGGGAGCCGGCTAATGAGAGAAGAGAGCGTGCACGCAAGAGATCCACGGACAAGGATTAATAAGAGGGTGCATCTCCATGTTCTAATCTGGATGCTCTGCCTTTCCCACTGCATTGTTGGAATTATTTACAACTAGTAATAACTTTGCAATTACCAAAGCCATAAAAAGAAACCAGTTGATGTGGGTGTGAGTCAAACACCAGCATTGCGATGGCTCTTGTGCACACGGCTTTTCTCCCTCTGCACCAAAGCCCAGCGCAGACCTTTTCTCGAACTCGGTGCACCTGCCAAATGGCTTCCCAGAGTGTTAGAGCAGCTTAGAGGGTGTTCAGCTTATTATATACGTGTGAAACAGGCTGATCCCTCCAAGAGGCTGACAGTAAAACTGTCAGAGTGTAAAACGTCTTTCCTCCAGTTAGGTTATTAATTTTAATCCCGTCCTGTGGTGCTCCCAGAGTCCAGAGTACTCCAATCTCCCTTTGTGAGGCCTGCTCAGTGCCTTGTATGCAGTTGACACTAATACACTTTGCTTGTTTGATACATTCACTTTGTGCCCTCCACCCCACCCCTGGTTTGGAAAAAGGATTTGTATAGGAAGCAACTGGATCCTCTTCAGAGCAGTTATTAAAAACACCAGGTAGACTGAAGAAAGAACAGGCAGAAGGATGCCCTCAGGGCAGATTGGCAGCAGGTGCTGGGAGCAGGTGCTCGGTGCTGCTGGCCTCAAGGGAAGATGCTCTGCCTGGCCAAGCCACTCCGGACACACGTCTCCTTCTGCTGTGGATACATCCTCTGGACTTTTCCCAAGTTCCCCAAGCTTCCTTCCTAATCTCTGCATCCTTGCTGAAGGCTGCCCACCCTGCAGAGACAGGGAAGAAGACCCTCTCTTGCTCCTCACGTGGCTTCACTTCTTCAAGCCGGAGATGAAGAGCTGGTGTGGGGCCCGGGGACCAGGACCCAGCCCCTCCCACCACAGTCTCAGCTCAGTCCCTCTGCTCTTCATTTTGGCTCTGATGCCTTACTTGGAAATTCTCCTTGGGTGCAGTCTCTATGGCAATTCACGAGTAAGTTCTGCACACAGCAATGAGCTTGTGTGTATGCACAGAAGAAAGTGCAGTCCACTCTGGGGGCCAGAGACAGAGGCTGGACCCGGCTCTGGCTCTTAGGAGCCCCGGTGGCTTTGCACCTTCAGGAGCTCCTTCACCTCTTCCCCTTCCCTGTGAGATTTAGGCAGGATCTTGCACTCAGACGTCCCAGACAATCAGAAGCTTCCTTCCCTGTGACTCCCCCGGGGACTGTGTGAACTCCAAGTTCCCATAACACTCTGGGGCCTCCTGCTCCACCCTGGCTCCTCATCCTGCCCCCAGCCCCCAGCCCCCAGCCCACCAGGCAGAGGCAGGTGGTTTCTTTAGTTTTTGTCCTGATTCTGGGAACTTATATGGGCTGCATTCCTGGTGACCAAGCCAGGGTCAGGAGTACAAGTCAAGGACACCACGGAGACACCTGGGCCGATTCGGTGCTCGGAGGGGAGAGCTGGCTCCTCGGATGCTCCTGGGACGACCCCAGGGGCCGTCCAGGATGAAGGAGCATGAGTTCAGGCAGGACCACATGACACAGAAGGGAAGGAGAACAAAAAGTAGAAATAACGTCAACCTAAGCAATGAGCAGAAATGAGAGATCTGAGCATCCGCCACACTGGATGCAGAATCCAGCCACTTTTCACCACTGTGGCCCAGTAACCTGCGCTCTTTGCAAACGCTACTGCAGCAGTGTCTCCGCGGCTCTCCCTCCTGCAGCCCTGCCAGCCAGCAGCGGATGATGCCGTCAAAACACCAACACGCGGGTAGGCCACGTCCCTCCTCCGCTCCACCGCCCGTGGGGCTGGCACCCAGAGCAGGGGCATCGGGTGACTTGCATGGCCCACACGGGGGCCTGCCGTCCCCTCATCTCTCTGACCTCACTCCCCACTGCAGGCTCCCCTCTCCCCTCCTCTTTCTCCCGCCCACTACACCGGCCCCCTGTGCGAGGAGCCTTGGCCTGAAGGTTCTTCACCCTTTGCTAGGAGGTTCTTTCCTTCTGGGCTCCTTGCTCCCCGACTCCCGTGTGCTATGCCTGGTGCGCTCTTGAATACATCAGCTCCCCATATGCCGTATTTGGGATCTCCTTCCCCGAGGGACTTTTCTCGTTGGCACTCATTATGATCCAACACGCTACACGCTACATTTCTTTGTCCCATCTTGTCTGCCTCCCAGTGAAAAGCCAGTGGCCCCAGACTGAGATCTTTGTGTATTCTCTCCTGAGGCTCGGACACACAGTAAGGGCAGTGCTAACGAGTGCTGGACCCACTGCCCTGAGCAGGAATGAGGCAATGGCAAGGACCCCTCTTAGGGGCGACCGCCAAAGTCTCACTGTATCTGCAGTGGTCCTTGTCTGTCACCTGCTTACGAGAGTATTATTCTGAATACAGAACCAGCCAGCCTGCAAGGAGGGGCACCCCACATGATGCCGGACACAGTCCCGGCACTGCACGCTCCCCTCTGGGGTATACAGTTCTGCAGAGCTGCACGCAGCATTTGGACACCCGTCCTTCCAGGGCGCCAGAAGGAGATGACTGGAGAGGGTCAGGTCAGGTGGCTATGGACACGGGGAATAAATAAGTACTGGGCTAATGAGCCATCTGCTGCGTGGTGAGATTTCCACACTGGGCAGCACACCAGTCCCACAGATCCATCACTGGATTAGCCCAAACATCAGAACATTCGACAACAAAATTGAACTACAATAACCGTGCTTTTTCCAATTTTCTGGGGACACGTTATCACGACTGTGAGTCAGGTGGCCAAGTATAACCCCCCAGCTTCAGCTACCCCCACCTCGAAGGTCTCCTGCTGCCCCTTGCTCTCCCCCTAGTCACTTCTAAAGCAAGTCTTATGGTGCCCGGGCTCTGATGTGGTCCCTTCACTGGGCTGGAGTCAAGGGCAAAGCCATCATCATTCTCAAAGAATGATGAGTCCTACTCCCAGAGCAGGCAGGGGACATGAAATGACACACGCTAGACTGTCCAAAGGCTGAGGAAGAATGCTTCCCGTAAAGACGATGAGTCCCGCCTTCCCCAGCGCTCCAGCCTGGCCAATGCTCCAGGGGGCCCGGAAGACTCTGGAAAGCCTGTGCACCAGGGGGAGGCTGCATGGCCAGGGAAGGGAAATGCACTGACCGTTGGCAGTGGTTAGCCTGGCTGGGGCAGGCCTGGAGGGAGGGAGGAGCCTGTGTGCACCAGGCACTCTCTCAATATGCAAAACCCAGACATTCAACAGATGCAAGGCAGTGGCTTGGAATCCACATAGAATGGAACAATCAGGGCATTCTCTGGCTGGGTTGACACTCGCTTCCAAGAGGGACAGGCACTTGGAGCCGCTCAGCACTTACCAGCCTCCCCCCATCTGGGTCCCACTGGGAGATCCCAGAGAATCGGGAGCCACAAAGCAGCCCCCACTGTGATCTACAGGTCACTAACTGCCTGAAAATCCCTTCTTTTTCCCTCCTGCTTTTCCCATACTCCCTGCAGCGATTAACGAGGTGGGGGGAGGGTGGGCAGAGCGAGAGCTGCTGGCTGGGTAATCCTCTCTCCAGCTCCATTAGGAACAGAAATAAAATTGCCATTTCAGCTCTGGGTGCAGCTGGAAAGAGGCTGTCACTCCCGAGAATGTACAGAAAACTTAGAAGGATGCGCATGAATGAGAAGCAACTTTTCCCATTTCCTAGTCAAATTACATGAGGATGGCAATCACAGCCGGGAGAGGCTGAGCCCCGGGGAGTTGCCTAATGCTAAGCGGTTCTGGATTAGCCACCTGGGGCAAAGGAGTCGCTCTGGGCAACTGTCCATGTGGGAAGGTGACCAGCCTGCAGCCAGAGGGGGTCGCTCTGGGAATTTCTGGCACTTGGGAAGGTGACCAGCCTGCAGCCAGAGGGGGTCGCTCTGGGAATTTCTGGCACTTGGGAAGGTGACCAACTCCGTAGCCAGAGGGGTCACTTGCTATGGGCACCTGTCCAGGGGTCACTTGGAGACAGGCTTTTCACTTGGCCCTATCCCCAAGGCGGCTGGAGTCAAACGGAAGAAGAGGGGGTGTGCCTTAATGTGGGAAGGGAGGAAGGGGGAGGAGGGAAGGGAAGAGGAGGGATAGGGAGGAAGAGGGAGGTGGAGGAGGGAAAGAGGGGGTGGAAGGGAAAGGGGGGAGGGAGGAGGGGGAGGAGGAGGGGGAGGAGGGAGGAGGAAGAGGGAGGCGGAGGAAGGCCGAGGCCGGAGGCGGAGCACGAGCCTAGACGCGCGCGCCAGAGGCGGCGGCCCGAACCCGCACCGGTGCGGCGGCGGCGCTCTGGTTGGCTAGTCTCCTCCATCCTCCCGCCGCCGCCCCCTCCTCCCTCCCACTCCCCGCCCTCCCCGCGGCGGCTGGCGTAGAGAAAGTACAGTAAAAAGTCCAAGTGCAGCCGCTCGGCGCAAGATGGGATCCGGCTCCTCCAGCTACCGGCCCAAGGCCATCTACTTGGACATCGATGGGCGCATTCAGAAGGTAGCCTCCTCCCCACGCTCCGCACCCGCGGCCGCCGGTGCAAGCCCCCCGCTCCCGCGCTGTGTGCCCCCCCACCCCCCGGTGCTCACGCCCTCCGCCGCAGCGCTGTGCTTGGCCCCCACCGGGCGATCCCGCGCAGTGGCCCCTCCCCGGGTGACGGCGCGGGCGGGGGGGGGGGGTCGTAGCGGTGGGGGGGGGACCCGGCGCAGCGACGGAGGGCGGCCTGGGTGGGGGGCCGTCGTCTGTGCGTCCGCGCGTCCTGGGTCCCGGCTGCAGCCTCCGACAACTTGGGCTGGGGGCAACAGGGCTCTGCGGAGCTGCTGTCCCCACGCGCCGCCTCCCACCTCCCCCGCCATGGAAAGGGGCGACCCACAAGGGGGTATTTTTTTCCACTTCATGGGCAGAGCTTTCTTTGTAACAAATCTCATCAGGCTGAGTTTGTATGTTCAGGGGCTGGTGCATGAAGCCTTTCATTTCCCTCGTAACGACCCCAGAGCAGACGCCCCGCGGAGCCCCTGGGCTGCCCTGCGGGACGTGGTCCCCAGACAGGGATGGTGACTGAGGCACGGAGGGTGACCGAGTACGCCGCCCCCGCCCCCAGTGGTGGTGCTTCCTGGCCAGGGGGGAGCAGGTGGGGGGGTGGGGCTTGGCGAGCAGGGGCTGCGCCCGGCAGCCCCCCACCGCGCCCCTCCGTGTACCCCACTGGACAGATGGTCAGCTCTGACAGCAGAGGGGGTCCTTGAGGCTGCTCTACCTCCTGGGCCCACAGAGAGACTGAGGGACAGGCCAGACCAGCCCTGTGGTCTCTCTGCCCTTCTCTGGAGGCATGAAGCCCTCCAGATGTCCAGGGTCCCTAACCAACTTGACTCTCATAGGAGAGGCTTCCCAGCAGACCCCCTTTGTTCCTGGCCCCTCCCTTGCTAAGGCCCTGGCCTGAGTCCAGAGCGCCCTGGGCCCATGCTTCTGATTGGCAGAGAGGCACAATAAGAAAGCTGGCTTGGAGGGGGGATTTTTAGCTCCTCCAGAACACCCTCCCCCACCGGCAAAAGCCATAGTGAGGAATCACTCCCAAACTTCAGGGGCACATTTCAGGGAAGCTGCCACCTCTCCCCTTGCTCTTCTCAAGGACCCCCCCATCCCCTGCCGAGAAGCCAGGGAGGGATGCCCCAGCCAGTGACAGAGCAGGCAGAGGCGGGGAAGTGGGGGGAGTCTCCAGAGATCTCTGGAGTGCCTCTGCCAGCTGATAGACTTGCCAGAAGCCACCCTCACTCTCCCCATCCCCGTCTCCATCCCAGGAAGTGAGAACTGTCCCTCCCCCACCAGCGCCCGCTTTAATAGAATCAGAGAGCAGAGAACAGGAAGAGTCTGCAAGGCCAGGTGGTCAAGCCTCTTGCTTCATCAGGGCCGGGCAGTTGGTCAGCAGCAGACGGAGGACTGGACTCCAGTCCCCTGACTTCCAGGACTCGGCACCTGTGACTGAGCAGGGACTTAACAGCCCCCTCAAAGGTAGAAATGACTCTTGGCTGAATACCTCCCTGTGCTGCGTACACACACATGCACAAACGTGCCCACATGTGTGCACATACGTGTTCACACACAACATGCACGTGAAACCATGTTGCACACACACATACACAGACAAGCCACATACGTTCCCAAGAACAAACCCACGTGCTAACACACACACACGTGCGAACAAGCAAACGTGCACACATATGCACAAGCACACACGTTCCTAAGAACAACCCCGCGTGCTAACACACACACGTGCAAACAAGCAAACGTGCACACATATGCACAAGCACACATGTTCCCAAGAGCAAACCCACGTGCTAACACACACATGTGTGCAAACAAGCAAACGTGCACACAAATGCACAAGCACACACGTTCCCAAGAACAAACCCACGTGCTAACACACACACACGTGCGAACAAGCAAACGTGCACACATATGCACAAGCACACACGTTCCCAAGAACAAACCCACGTGCTAACACACACACGTGCGAACAAGCAAACGTGCACACATATGCACAAGCCACGCACTCCTACCCCACCAGATGAGAATTCTCAAAGATTGGCCTTTTTTCATCTTTTTGAAGGAGATGAGATGAGATGCCCCCGACCGGGTCAGAAGTGACAGCTTCTTCCCGAGAACTTCCCAAAGGTCTCCCTGAGAAGCTGTATTGGAAGTGGATAAGAAGTGGCAGAGAGGCGCCAGAGGCGGGGAGGGTGAGAGCTGAGTCTGGCAAGCTCTGCCCGCGGGGCAGGCAGGCTGGTTTTTAGACGGTGACACACCTGAGGTTGGGGTGACCTCCGGAAAAACAGCCCTGGAGGCACGCCTGCATTTAGGAGAGAGGCCGTGGCCTCGGGAGGGGCCACATCTGCTGCTGAGCCGGCTCCCCTACTTTCTGTGGTCTTGAGCAAGTCTGCGGGCAGCTCTGAGCCGGCCTCCCCGTCTGTAGGGTGGGACGGCAGTCTGTGCTTTATAGACTGTCCTGAGGACACAAGACCGTACGACCAGAGTGCATGGGGTACTGCGGGACCAGGGTGGGTCCCTCTCTCTGTCCACAGTGGCCTTTCGCTGATCCAGACCGGGGAGGGGAGCCCGAGTAGGCTGTGGTCTAAACCTCGCCCATGGCCGCAACGCCTGTTAGCGGTTCTTAGACGAGGCTCTGCGCCCTCTGCCTGCGCTGCTGAGTCCGGTGGAGGCCCGTAGCTGGACTTGTAGCCGCGGTTGAGAGCCGAAGCATCTGGGGTTTCCGAGCACGTGCTGGAAAAGGACAACGGGGCTCTCACCGCACACCCGGCAGCATGGTGGGGACCGAAAGGGTCTCTGCTGAGAGCATTTCCAGCAATGCTTTCTGTGGCCGCACTTTCTGTCCTTAAGGCTCCAGGCACTGGATTCAGCCCTGCTCTGTCTCCCTTTTATCCTTCCCAGAGCTTCTCCCAGGAAGGTCATGGACACAGACCCCTGTTGCTTCCGAGGGGCAGGTGCGCTGGGGGTGGGGGAAGGGCTAAGGCACTGCTTTGTCTCCCCCGCCCTCTGCCCCTCCAGTGACCCTCTCCTGGGCACCCCACGCTCCCCACCCCCCAGAGAGAGCAGCAATATGGGGGGAGAGCGTTCACAGCAGTGACCCCTGCAGGTGTAATCTGCTCCAGCCAAGCTTCGGGGGAACCGTCCCAGGTCACCGGAAGCGAGGCCGCCCGCCCTGTCTGAGGACGTACTTGGGGTGGTGACACTGGAGGTGTCTCAGGTGCTTGAAGAAACCACTGCAGCTCCCGGAGAGCTAGTTCAGTGCCTCTGACATGAAGAAGCCTCCAGACCCAGAGCTCTCCAACCAGCCCCCGGTGACACAGTGCGAGGCCAGCAGGGGGAATTTGGGGGATCCTCGGGCCGCCGTGAGGGGATCGATCTCCCATCTACGGGCTTTCCTTCAGCGCTGTGCAGGGGGTGCTTGGAGGGCAGAGGTAATCCTCCAAGCCCGCGCCCCCCGGGGTCCCCTCAAAGGCAGCAGAAAGCCGTGTGGCCTCTCCCAGGGCCTTGCCTGCATCCCCGTGGCCTGGGCGAGGTCCCCAACCTCTGTGTAAGGTGGGGGTACCCGTAGTGCCGCTTGTCATAGCGTCGGCCGGACAAAACCCGTCACTTAGGCCGCTCTCCACAGGAGCCATCAAACAGCCACTGTGTGCCGACGGCTGGGTCCTGTGCAAACGTGACACCCACGACCGTGTCCCACCGAGCGATGGGCTCACGGATAGTAAACACAGCTGTTGCAGGGTGCCTGTGGACGGACAGAAGGACATGGCAGGCCCCACTGGTGGGGCAGGGCTGTGTGCCAGAAGTGGGATGCTTGATGAGTGGGCTCCCTTCCTTGGTAAAGACTGGCTTTGCGGGGGGGGGGGCGGCGTGGGGGAGGGGGACTTTTTGCAGACTGGGAAGCCTTAGGGTGACCCAGGTTAGGAACTGCTGGATGGCCAAGGTGACAGCCTCACTCACCTCCACACATCTGTCCCCTTGATGCCTCCTCCCCTGCTCCTGTTGAAGGAGGAGGGAGTGGGAGCCAGGGTCCCCAAAGCTGGATAGCTGAGGACCCCCGCTCCAGAGGACTCCTCTCTAGAAGATGCTGCTTCTCTTCTTTGCCCAGACTGTGTGTGTTTGCCTTTCCTCTGCTGGCCCTGGCCTCAGTACCTGTTCTTTTCTCCCCCTTGCCCACACAATACATCCAGAGAGAGGGGGCACTCAGCTGGGTTGTCCCGGGGGTGCCAGGGTGGTGCCCTTGGCATTGGGGAGGAGGAGGGGCCCTGCCTGGTAGCACGTCCAGGCGTGCGTTTGATGACCTTACCATTACCAATGAAGAAGAGTGAAGGTTTGCGTGACCTTGGGGCCTGGCTTTGGGCTGGAGCTGCTGAGAAGCCTCATCTGGACAAGGATGGCCATTCTGGAGCTCCTACCAGCTCTGGAAGAGAGCATCTCCATTGGCGCATTGCCCTGGCCTGGTGGCTTGCTCAGAGACATGGCAGTCTGCCCAGACCACCCTCAGCCACTCTGAGCTCCTGCGTCCTTGTCCCAGCCTTGCTGCCACAGGAACCCCGGCCTTTCTCTGCCACTGGAACCCAGGTCCAAGACAGCCAACAGCCACTTGACTCTGTTAACGGTTTCTACTCTAAAACAAGGAAATGAATGAGGAAAACCCAAAGGGAAGAGCAACCTTGGGAAGTTGTTGAACTATCTGCAGAAGACTGTGCCCGGTTCACGGCTGACTGCTAGCCCCTCCCTGGGCCCTGTGCGCTTAGGGGTCCCGTCTTCTCCCAGGGAGCCGGCGTCCACCCTGCCGGGGCCCGCTGTGACGGGGATTCCGGGGTACACCCCCGGTTCCTTCCCCCGGCGCCTACAGGGCCCGGACCTGTGGTTTTCCTCTGTAGCAGGGCCCTCCCCCCGCCCTTGGAGGTCAGACCTCTGCAGCCCTACCAGCCACCTCCCTTCCTCCCGCGTGCCTC